TGCACTTCTCTGTCATCTAGGAAAAAAAGGGGTCAATCGTCATGGATGATTAGTTAAAAAATTGTGGTATTCGTTAGATACGATAAGTGGCGATCCCTTATCATACCATACATGTACTCTGTCATCTAGGATGATCGCTTATACAATCATATCGAATTAAGTTTTACCATAATTATTCTTCTTATCACATGATTAATTTAGAAATGATTATCATGAATCATTAAGGACAATGTACATCGTCATGTATGATTAGCACTGATTAAAATATTGCATAAATTATGATTGGCGACTATTTTTTACCATCTAAATTGATCATCCTAAATGATAAGGATGTCCAATAAGATTAACTTAATCACTCATAATTAGTATGGATGTCTTAATTAGGGTTTTTATTTTTAACTGATCGTCCAGTATGATTTGAAATTGTCCTGTATGAATATGTCAAAAATAAAGAGTTCTCTAACTCACCAAATTTCTCCCCTGAGTGTGTGTGTGCAAGGGTACTTAGCTTGGGTTTCACCAAATACATGACTTAAATCAAGTAAGAACATGTTATGTAAGCATACCATACAACATGAAAAATGCACAGTGTCATAGTAGTGCATTATACCGACATGCAAATATACTATACTTCATGTTGAAGCATTAAGCTACCACATAACATAAAAAAGATGTCATGCAAGCATGTTAAGTAGTTTACAAACACATATATTGACACACATGTATATATGCAAACATATAAAAGAATTCACAAGTATATCAACATGTAAATGAATATATGAGTATATATGTGAATATGCAGATGTGTCATACACATTCACTATATTACATACATATAGTTACTATATAAATACACTATATGAAAATGCACTAAAAAATATATATCTGCATGAGCCTCAATGAGCGTGATGTATATATACACTTGACATCTGAAGATGCTGCATGGGTAAAAAGTGAACTTAAGTTCAATTCTAATCCATCTCTATTAATGGATCAGAGTTGACATGACTTTAACCACCGAACAAATGCACAGTTGTAGTGTATACTAGTTATTTGGTTTTATATATTCATATTAGGCCTTCAAGGTCCGCTATAAGAAATGTTCATTGCTAAAAGCATAAACCATCACCATCGACACTCATTGAAGTTAATTGAAGTACTTAACTTTGTACATTCATATTAGGCCTTCAATGTTTCTTATAAAAGAAGTTCACACAATAAAATGAATATTTCTGATTCTGATATCCACACAATAACTCTAGAAATTAGGAATTAGATTTGATCTTCCATTTGCAAGCAAATAGAGTTGACAATGTTCAATTAATAAAATGCTATTACCTATAAATCAACTTCCATGATGACCGTGTTGAATGCAAATCTCAACCGGAGGGGTCTACATAAATTTCAAAGAAATACCTTCAAATCTCAAAGTTAATTTTCTGGGTGTCAAGTATAAATAAGACTTTCAAAATCTATTACTTTTCAAAAATAAAAAATGCCTAATTAAAATAAAACACCTAAATACTTAAAAAAAAATTCATCCATCATTCACAATAGTTGGTCAACATAGATAAATTTCAAAATAACTTCAACTCACAAAGAATGAATATTTAATCAAGAATATCACTATGATTCATTCTCAAATCATCTCTTGTTTGTAAGGACATGGCACACATTCTCTAAATGATAGTTTCACTTCCAAATGGCACCATAGGAAAATGGTTATGACTGGGGCCCTTTGACCAAGTGGTTTTTGCCATCAAATGGTACCACTTAATTACAGTCATGTACATAGCCAGTATGTTCCCCAATGACTCTAAATTCTTCACTAATGAATCAATAGGGTATAAGCGACATGGCATAATGCCCCTTTATTTGCTAAGGTGGTTCAAATCTATCCCCTTAGGCAAACATTCACCCCAAGTTTATAAGATACCCTTAGACGTTGCAACCTATAGTTGCAGACAAGGATTTTTTAGTCAGGTTGGGTAGGTTACTTCCTCTAACTAAGTAGACTAGGGTCCTTGATTTCCCTGGATGAAAAAATTAAGGGATCTTGATTGGGTTCATTCTAGTTCCCCCCACCATTCGCTTTATGTGTGTGGTGATAAATTTCAATTTTAAATATCTACCTCTGGTGGTACTATATGCAAGATATTATGTATATGTTCAATGACTAGGCTTATTCAAAAGTTCTCTCTTGTTATCGAGAGGGGTAATTAACTATAGGGAAGCACACCTATAGGAAACCTGAACTCAGATCATGAAGTCCTTCCAAAATGAGGGTGAAATCTTTGGGTAGTGTCTTATTTAAAATTCAATCTATCTTTTAAAAATTTAACCAGAAATCTAAACTCATTAAAATTCTCCTCGCTCGCACAAAAAAGAAAGGGGTCGCGAAGAGGTGGAACATGAATTTTTAGAGCCCGCATAGTTATCTCAGTCATCTGAACTAGTCTTATCATAAGCATCATATATCATATTTTCATATCAGTATCTTATCATTCCAGCTACATATCAATCATATTTCTTAAACCCTTAATATATTAATCATTCTCGTTAGTTAATTAATATCAACAGTCACACAATCATGTCCATCATTAATCATATTTATCATTTGTCATTCTATCGTTTGGCTATCCATCATTTGTCATATTTATCATGTGTCATATCAATCATTTGTCACATCCATTATCTGTCATATAAATCATATGTCATATCTATCATATGTCATATAAATCATTTATCATATATATCATATCAATCATCTGTCACATACATTATCTATTATATCAATCATCTGGCTTATTTATCACATGTTATATCAATCATCAATCTTATATAGCATATCAATAATCTGTCATATCCATTTTCTATCATATCAACCACATGTCATATATATAAATTAGAGTAAAGGTCAGAGAAGAGTTGTTTCCAACACAAATTCATTCAGAGCTAACGGATATCACACAGAGAGTAGAGCAGAGCAGAATATTTTCCAGGACCAAGTTATTTAGAGCTAACACAGAGAGTAGAGCAGAGTATTATCCAACATAGATTTATTTAGCACAAAATGGAGTAATCTAGAATAGAAAGTTATTAAGCTTCTCAATCATATCAATATCAATCTCATCTATCCCCTCTAGCATGCCAATTCATTTTCCTTTTGCTTATTCTTACACACATTTCATATCATATTAATCATATTAACAAACATCATATTATGAATCATCTGTCCTTTTAATCATATCAATATCAATCCTATAACATATCAGTTCATATATTTTACATGTTCTTACGCATATCACATCATTGATATACACATCTTGTACATATTAGATGAAATTTTCATAACATGTAGATCTATACATGTGCTCATCAATACATAGATTTTAGATGAAATGTACTTGGCAGCAAGTGGCTTTTTAAAATCAAATACCATGTTGATGGGTATTGCTAGATATAAGGCTCGTTTGGTTGCTCAAGGATATAAATATGAATATGATTTAGATCTTACCGAAACCTTTAGTCCTATTGCTAAAATGCATACTATTCGAATTTTTATTTTGGTTACCATTCACAATAATTGTGATCTCAATCAGCTCGATGTTTCTAATGCTTTCATTCATGGCACATTATCTAAAACCATTTATATGGCTCACCCTCCTAGTTTCAAAAATCTAAATTACTCACATCATGTGTGCAAACTTTACAAAGCTATTTATGGGCTGAAGCAAGCTCTATGGCAATGGTTGATCCTTCATTCTTTCATTACTCTAAGCATAATATTTGACTTTATTCTCTTATTTATCTGGATGGCATCTTGCATATGGGTAATACATCAGCAACTGTTTCTAGCTTTATTAAAGAACTTCACATCAAATTTTAATTAAAGTAACTTGGCTCGCTGTCAAACTTCCTGGGTCTGCAAGCCTCTAAGATAGCTAATGATTTTCTCTTAACTCAATCTCATTATACCTCTAACATACTACCAAGGGCTGGTGTGCTGGATTGTAAGGCCGTTTCTAATCCCATTGCAAGTAAATCTACTACTGTTCCATATGCTAGCTTCATTACCTTTTCAGGACACTTCTCTTTGTTGGCATTTCGTTGGTTTATCTTCCACTAACTATAACCAGTCAATGTATATCTTTTGTTGTAAAAAAAGTTTGCCAATATATGCACTCTCCTCAAAATCAGCAATTTCTTATGCTAAAGCATATTCTTCGCTATGTTAAAGGCACTATACATCTCGGTCTTACTCTTGAATCAGGCAATCTACAACTCTATGTTTTTGTTGATGCTGATTTGGCAAGTGATCAACAAGATTATAAGTTAACAAAAGATATTTTAGTTTCAAATAATTTTTGTGAGATATGGAGTTTCTTTGGGAAGCTTACGGTTTTCATAAAGTTGATGGAGAAATTGTTGTGGGGAAATAGCTCAGCTATTTTGATTATAAAAAATAATTTTTCGCTATATACATTTTAATAACAGTGAGAAAACAACTTGAAGACGGTAGTAAAAAAAATATAATTTCTTATTGAAAACTAGAGCAATGAGAAAGCTGTCCCAAATAGATCAATAGAGTTAGTTTAGGATAATTTTCTAATTTCTCTATTTTTCTAAGAGCAGTCACAATATCATTTGGATACTATTTTGTTATTATTTTTTAGTATTTTTTTTAATTGTGATGAAAATATATTTTTTATAATAAAGAATAACTAAGTATTATTATATAAAAAAATTTACAATTAATTTTGTAAAATATTATAGCCGTCACAAACAACCCCATATTTAGAGAAATTATTAATTGTGGTCACCGAACAGTTAGGAGGTCAATCAAAATGCGCCTAATCACAATATATAATGGTACACATTATACTAGTGAATTGATGTATTCTGGTTGACTTTCAAATGACCTCAGATGATCACACTTAATAATTTCTCCTATATTCCGACAAAATAAAAATTTTAAAGGAGTTGTTCAGATAATTTTATTACGGAGGATATACAATTAGATAGCCCGTTTAGAGTTGCCGCTGATAAAAAAAAATGATATTTTGACTTTCAGCGCAGCCCGCCCCGCCGGAGTATCTACGAACCCGGTCGTTCCCTATTGCTGCTTCAAAGCTACGAAAATCTCTTCCGCTTCAAAAACATTCCCAAACTTCTGAAGATTTTTTTTTAATTAAATCCGGAAGGAGAAATTCCATTATATCAGTTCTTGATCTTGACTGAAGACCTTCTTCCGTCTTCTGATCTCTCTCCGACGTTGCAGCCTCTGCTATTGAAGATAGCGTAGCATTTCGTTCTTTTTTTGCTGGAGTCAGTGAACTCTGAGAATTTGTTTGCGTGGGAGGTAGATCGATTGAGATTTTTGAGATGATAACACGTTCAAATCTGGCAGAGCAACTTAGGGAGTACCAGGTCCGGTCTAAACACGACTGGGCCACCGTCTCCTTTTTCTCCTCCACATCGTCCAATAACTCCAGGTAGATCGATATACCTTACTGTACTTCGATTCCTAGGGTTTTGCTTTTTACTATGTCCGTTTAATTTGTACTATTGCTTTGTGAAGTTGATTGTTCGAGTCCCTTGTGATACCTAATTTCTTGAATGAAATGGCTGCTTTATGTATTAGGGATATTTGTCTGTATTGGAAAGTCTAAATAAGTTTGCTCTTTATATGGTTGGAAAACAATCAGCTTTATTCTGTATTTTGGGAATCTAATTTTTTCTCTCAAGATTTTCCTTGGAAACACGTTGCTGAGATTTGGGAAAAATGCTCTGTTTCTGAGGCCTCATCTACCGGTAAAATCATCTGAAAATATTAAAGCATGGATTTTCTTGAAAAGGGAACCAAAATCCCTGTATTACCGGCGGATGGAGGGGCAAGAGGGGAAGCCAGGGAGAACGGCGGCCAGTGGATTGGACGGGCTTGGTGTGGTCGACGGGTGGCTTGGGCGGCCCAGGTGGCCGGCGGCAAGGAGTTGATGGGGGAGGGGAAGAATAAGGCTAGAAAATCAAGAAGAAAATTTGGAAGACTTGATCAAGAGAAATAAAAGAAAATAGTAGAACGAGAAAAACCTAGAACTCACAAAGAGATCTAGCTTCTCCTACGAACTCACTAAGAGATCGTGGAGGTTTGCACTCACAAAGAGAACACAAAGCAAATATTTTTTCATTTATCAAAAACTAACTCTTACATGAGAAATGGGTCATATAAATAGGCTTCAAAATGACTAAGAAAGTAAAGTACTAAAATGCCCCTTGGGCTACAATAGCTACCAAATACCCACAAGGGTAAAAACGGAAAAACATAAAATAAAAATAAACTACTACATAAAATGATGAAAATACAAATAATGATCGTGACCGTCGATCTCCTGCATCTCCTAAAGGTACATGTGTCGAAATCGCCGCTGATGTCCCCATCAATTACACAAGCTATTAATTATGAGAGGCCCTCTATAGGGTTATTTGTTAGCAAGATTTAACATAATTTAACCAGGACTTAAGCAAAATGTAGGCCAGATTCAGCCAAACTGTACACAGGATTTAAGTCAAGTAGATTTAAAAATACTGTAAATACATATTTTTGAAATCTTGAGGTTGTTAAATCTTGAAAACTATTTGATATAACATTTGTTAAATCTCCTTATATTCTGATGAACAATTTGGATATTGTTAGACCGGTCCACTGGACCGGTCCAGTCGGTCCAGGAAGGACCGGTTCACAGGGGCGAACAGGCGGGATCTCCGCCTCCTGCAGAGATCGGGCGGGCCGACAGCTCAAACAGAGCGTTTCAGGAAGGATTTTTGGGGTGTTTCAGAGAGAAATTTGAATGTAGGGACTGTTTAGAGAATTCCTTTTGATTTGTATGCATTAAATAGTTGATTTTGCTAGGGTTTGAGTATCTTGAATTTAGCTGAAATTTGAGATCTCTTAGATTTAGGTTTTCTTTGGGCTCTAGCGGCGTCTAGAGATTTGGGAGAGATCGATCATCCTCTCGAATTGAGGATCAATTGTATCTTGCTGTTTTTATTCATCTACTAGTGAAATACAAGCTTTCCTTTGAGTTTTCTCTCAGATTTTTCCCGTACAAATGCTGTTTTTCTGTTATAAACAGCAGATTTCTGCTGTTTTCCTGCTGTGGACAGCCATTTGGCTGTTCTTGGTTCGCCGATTTTAATTAGGTTACTTGCGAACTCAAGTATTTCCTATCAAATTGGTATCAGAGCATCGTTTTTGGGACCGTCGGCGGCTGAAATCCTGAAATTTCAGCGGTAGTTTCATTTCCGGAAAAAGATCTTCGTGAATTTTGAGAAGAACAATGGCCGGAAAAAAGGTTGACGTCTTGGAAGGCGAAGTCGGCCAATTAAAAGCCGATTTGGAAGAAAGATTCTTCAACCTTCAAAATCAAATCACCTCCAACAATGAAAGGTTGGAGGGGAAGTTCACCGCAATGGAGGAAATGTTGAAGATTCTACTTGAGATGAAAACCAATCCGGCGACATCGGAAGGACCCTGCTCGCACCGGGCCGCGACAAAACCTTTTATCCAGGATCTGGCTTTGGAATTTGGTTACTGAACTAAATCTTCCAAATAATTAAACTCATCAGACACAAACACAGAGCTACTATGAATCATCAAACACAGCGGAACAAAACATCTATCTTTTTCTTTCTTTTCCTCAAAACAATCATCTACAAATACGGTACATGGCTAGCAGAAGAAATACAGAAGAAAAGCCATGACCGTACAAAAAATCAAAAGTACAAAAGTACCTATACTGATCAGAACTCAGAAATCTACTCCTGGACTTCCTTCCCTTTCCTAGAACCTGAAAACCACCAGAAAACAAGAGTGAGCTCAACAGCTCAGCAAAGCAACAAACCTCCAATCAAAACTCTCAGAATCCAAAACCAAACTCATCAGACAGAAATCAGATCAGAAATCGGAACAGAATCGTACAGATATCAAATCGGACAGATCAGAACGGAACAGATCAATACAGAATACAGATTTTCTTTACAGAACAGATAACGGAATCAGAATCAGATCAGAAATCAGATAGCATCATATTTAATTAATAGCTAACTAAACTAAACAGAATCACTACGGATTCTGACCCTTTATGTCCCCTTGTGCTCAACGGCACCCTGAAATTCGCTGAATATTAATAGCTAGCTAATGTGCTCACGGCAACCAAGAATAATAGAATTCATAACGGATCGGAATATAACAGAATATTTCTTCCAACTTGAGCTCATCTAGTTTTTCCAAACACTTAATGAATCTCATAGGACCAGGCCCCTTAATAGCTCCCTTTTTATAGGCATATACATATAGATTTCAATTCAGAAGAAATTCCGGCAAATAGAAAATCAGACAAAAATCAGGGCAGACAAACAGGCAGTATACGAAATTTAAACAAATTTTCCTGAAAAATCAAAAATTCACCAAATTCGTACAGAATGTAGATAAGATCACATTTCAGAACATTTATTCTACTTGCAATGAAAATTTCCAATTATCCAGAAAATCAGCGAGTCGAAAAACACGCCGAATCAAAAATACCCGGAAAAAATTTTCGAGAAAATAATACAAAATTGTTGCCAACCCGGGCACGTCACATATACAGAAATTACGCGGATAAAACTGAAACCATCAAAAGGATACGGACGAAAATCAATTACGGAAACAAATCCGGACAAGAAAAATAACCGCAAACTACGACGGTTGCTGAAATTGAGAAGGACGGAATGTGTCTTCTTGCGTACACAATTTCTGAACTGTCTATTACGACGAAAACGGCTCCGCGTCATCCGAATCAACTTTCTCCAAAATCTCTCGACTTCTCTCTCCCTCAGACTGATATTTTCGTTTTTATAATTTTCATCTCTCCTCAAAATGACTTGAATCAAGCTTATAATCTTCAATCGGCCCGGCCGATCGACAGATCATCCAGGACGATCAGACCAGATTTGGATCGTCCTGGACGGTTCCAAGAACTTATTCCTCAGAGCACATTTTTCTACAAGTGCAATCGGCCCGGACGATGTCCTCAATCGCCTGGATGATATGTACAGAAATCACCTGGAGCAAATCTGGGCACATTATGGAGAAACATATCCACTGATCGTCTGGACGATCTCGGAGCAGATTTTGATATTACAGATCTTCCCAACTTCAAGAAAAATGTCGTTCCCTCGACATTATCCAAATCAAACTCAGTCAAAACAGTAAGTGGTACGAGCCGTCTCATATCAGACTCCTCCAAGTCGCTTCTCGTAGCAGTCCGGTGCTTCCACTGGAACTTAACCATCGGAAGTTCCTTTATTTCTTTAACTTTCGGAGTCGTAACGCCAAATAACTCTGACTCTTCCGTGTAAGCCAGTTCCTTCTGAATCTCAAATTAACGTAGCTGATATCTTTTCCGAGTCTGAAAACCATTCTCAGAGTGGGACGTGAAACATTGTGCACGTCAGGTCGATCAGAAAGCACAGTCGGTAGCAGATTTCAACAATTCTTATCCAATTCAACGAGTCAACTACTTGGACAAGCTTACTCCACCTGAAATCTGCTTAACCTTCATAACGGACTGCTTGACATAACACAACTCACCAACTTGAAAACTCAACAAACCTTGTGTTACTGATTAATATACTTTGCTGTCGATCCTGAGCCGCATTCAATCTTTCTTTTATCAACTGATCTTCTGAGCAGTTTCAATCAGCAAAAGTGGCAACCCAAGCCTGTCTAACTTCGACT